AGAGTTTTCTGACTTCCACTCCGCACAGATCCTCTGAAATCATTCGAAGCGTTGCACCTCGGTCGTTGGTGATTATTTCCAGCACCTTTTCAATCAACTCTGGCGTTCGAATCGTTTTTACTGGGCCGGGATGTTCATCGTCTTCCAATGATTCTCTTCCATGGCGAAAACGGTTATGCCACTCAAAAACACGTGTACGAGACAGAAAATTATCTCCGTACACTTGCTTCATCGTTCGAAACGTTTCCGTGGCACTTTTGTCCAGCCGAACACAAAATTTGATGTTCGCTCTTTGTTCCACAACACACACACACAAGAGAGACGTCTACTTCCGCTCACACTACGCTCACAAATGGCGGCAATGTAAGATGACCTTTAGTGTAGCACTCTAGGAGCAATTCATCTTTGGATTCATATTCACTTCTGGTAGAGGGCAGCACCAGTTCATGCCTCATAACACCAGTCCCGTTTTCCAGTGTATGTTTTGGAGAAACTTGTGAGTAATCTGGATGTGCTGATAAAGACAGCTTGCAGTAGACTCGTTTTGAAAGCTGGTTTGAGGGAACATCTGAAGACCCTTTGCGATACTCTTATTAAAGTAAAGATTCTTTCTGGAATTCGGAGTTTATCCTCAATATGCTTCTTCAACTGCATGGATCAGACCTTCAAAACCTGTTCTGCTATCAGGGAAGATATTTTTTGAATGGAACTTCCCATCGCATTCAATACACAGAAATCTAAATGGGCGGTTTCACTGATACAGAGTTTTCTCCGAGCTGTTGATGCAACATCCGCGCTCATTATGCAACCACAGGGTTCATCACTGGCAGTGTCGAAGCTGGGACGGTTAGTCGCTCGCTAGCTTCTTACCACAAGGCCCGGTTTTCTGCCCATGGTTGACCGTATTGGATTTGTTATTGCAACTGGGACAGATTTCTCTTCTAGTCATCAGTATGTATGAGTTTGGTGATATCAATATAACAAAACAAAGAAAAATTTTAAGTTGTAATTTGATGGAAATTACTTACAAAAGAGCTTTACAGCATATGCTGGAAATGTTCACCGCATTCTGAAAGACATGAAGTCGCAAGGAATTTTCGAGAATGAACACACGTTCTGCACGTGAATACATGTTCGCACCTGCACAGATTTTGCGCGTCTGGCGTGAGCGGCGGCCTAGTAACAAGAGTGACCTTGAGTTTCGCGGCGGAGGCTGGGAGAGTCCACGTACCTTGGGGTTGACCTGATTCTGATTTCATTTGTTTTTACCGAAGTACGTGATTTCTGTTGTATTGCGTTTTAAATGGTACAGTCTGTACAAACAGTGAGTCCCCGCAGTAGATCCGCATCTCATGGGTTCCTGAATTCTGGGTTCTTCTATTGCAAGTCTGGCTGTTTCTGTTTATAACATTCCGTCGTCTATCTTAATCACTGATTGGTAGATTATATAACGGTATTGTTCCTACGGCAAAGAATATTAGTGTCTTACGGTTAGTGAGTGTGTTTTACGGTACTATTCCGGCATGTTGACGTTCTCGCTTGAATTTTGAAACATATACAAACGATTTGTTTTATTCAGTTGTATTGTTAATTTGTTTCTGATCTTGGTTTCATGTTGTTATTGTTTTATTTCTGTCATTTTATAATAAACTTAATTGCCTTAACATGTCTTTAAGCATTTCTTTTGTTTACAATCGTCCGGTTTTGTATTGAGTATCTGTGTTACTTCTGAACGTATCTATTGTCTGCAGATTTTATTTTAATGTACTACGGTAATTATTTTTAATGATTTGTTTTCTTTGATGCTTGAATATGACTGCCTTTGTTCGCTGTTGTTAAGCATTTTAATATAATAATTTTGTGTTTTGTGTTGCTATTATTATTTTGCTAGGCTTATACGAAAAAACATTGTGAAGTCGTATTTCGCATGGTCCTTGCTGGTCGTTGTGTGACCGTACGTCCATATTTCATGATAATTGTTTTTATACGAACCTGGCATCGCCAAAATGGTCCGATTTAGTTACCGGTTTGTATAGAAGTGCGTTATTAGGACCCACGTCGAAGCAGCTGACAGGCGGCGCAGCATGTAAGCAGCCTGCAGGGGTGAGGGCTTGGCAACATTGTTGTTGAGAACAAGGACAGGTAAATTGCCGGAACGTTGTTTGCTATGTAATTTGTGTGAGTGTGTACAGGAACTAGATTGGAAAAGAAAAGAAAAAAGCTAGAAAGGAAGCGAAATAATGACGTACATAGCAGTACTGACAGGGTAATTAGGGGCTGGTGCGATGTGGGGGTGTGTCACCCCCACATGACATCTAAATTGAAGATGTTCATAGTACATTTGATGAAAAGATCCAACCGCCTTCCTCGTAGACGAGACCACTGTCTTACTATTCAATAAACTGACTCATCAATATAAATTGGGCATGGCAGTTGGTTCCATGGTGTAGCGTTAGTCAATCTGGGGTCCTCAACTTGCCGTTCATGTACCTCGAGAAATTATCTTTAACCTGAAATACACGCACATGTGAAGTCTCTTCAGGTGAAACTTGACAATTTATGTCAACTACTTCCGATCTGTAAACGTGAAAAATGATTATTTGGAAGACCTAGGCATAGATGGACATTAAAATACTTAGAATGGGAGCCACTTGGAGCGCACTCATATGAACTTAAGGGGGGATTCTTTGACCAACTAGACGACTTTCAGCTAGTTGGTAGTGGTTTTTAAATTTTGGTTAAGGTTAGACAGCGTTAATTTGTAACCTCTGTCGATGTTTCTGAGCGCGGAAGTGACGGTGGGGAATCCCCAAGCTACGTTGGTTGCCACATTTATACCTACTGTTATTATCGTGGTTATCTTGGTCACCATTGTTACGTCGGGAATCCCTGCGTATGGGATCCATACGCAGCCTCTCAATTACGTGGCAAAGTCTCCGTCCTGACGTCATCACCCAAAAACAAAGGTCACTGGCCCTCCGAGGAACTGCTGAAACCATTGTCACCATTTGCAAAGATCGAAGTTCAAATTCTGGCGAACGCACCAGAATCGTTACGCGATGCGCACGTTTCTTAATTTGTTCATAATTCGTTGCATTGGCGTCTTGGCACATTGAGTTTATAACACGGCGTCTGTGGAGAGTTCTTTATTGGCCGTGATTTGTCGAAACGTCTAACTACTACTTCGTCTTGAATTCACCTCTTTACCACACAGTATTAAAAATCCCGCTCAATAAAATGTATTCTTATTCGTGTACTTAGAAATCTAACGTTCTTCAGACAAAAATGGACTTTCATATCGGATTGCTTTTTCACCTGTTTGTCAGTAAGTGAGATTAAGAGTAACTTTGAAACAAATAAACAGCCAAATAGTCGTGTAAAGTCTGGAGCTTGGACGGAAACCTCTGTCTCCTATTTACATATCACCATAAATTCAAAATAAATCAGCACGCCATTTAAATACGAAGATGTTCACAGTATATAATTTCAACTTAATATCTGTTGTTATAACTACGATTAATGTAACGTAAAGTGTAAGCGTGTTGACCGGAGTTGGTGGAGCGAACCATGGAGTACCTACGAGCTGGTTCGTAATTCTTTCAGATTTTAACGTATTTCCAGATGACAGTTGTACGATGAGGCATCACATGTCCGTCACGTTAATCTATGATCTTGATTTAAAAGTTTCCTCTGCGTTTCGTTATATGTGTGTCATGTGATTTATCTGAATCCGGTCCAGAACAACGTCTCTGCAGAAGGAGAGAGGTAATTAATAAAACCTGGCGCCAGATACCATCGCGATGTCAATCTCAAGCACACACTCTCGCACACTGCTCCGCCCTGACTGCTCGCACACTGTTTAGGGTTTTACAGATACCTCTGGAATGTCATTAAAAGTAATTCTATACCTGTAAAAATCGGGGTATAGGTTTGTTTGCCCGCGAGGCATTACTGCGCAGGCGCTAAAAAGTCATGGCCACTCCATGTATATAGCCTTACATGCGATCTCACATCTGTGTTCTCTCGCGTTTAAAACTTCGTGTTATAATTAAAATATAACTGGCTCTTTTAAGTTCATTTCAGATGATCAGCCACGTGAATATGGAAATATTCTAACTTTCCAAACCCTACATACCTGAATACACCAAAAATAATTTTGCTTATTGTTTTGTATTAGTCTGAAAATTAGTGTGAAAACTTCAAATGTTATTTAATCTGTTAAGGCTACTTTTATAAGTTCTACCCTGTGATGTTAAAACATCTGATAAAACAGATGGCTTGTGATGGCAACTGTTTATTCACGAGTCTCGCTTTCCTCCTAGGGATAAATATGAATCTATCGCGAGCATATATAGTGTAGAAATGAAATAGTTTATACAGACCAAACACCGAAGGAGGTTTAAAGTTTAATTTTAAACGGATATCACACTAATTGTTCTTCTAGGAAACCTAATAGTCGCTCAGAGGATCAAGAAACTCCTCGGCTTTTATTGGATTATCACCGTGTTCACGTGTTCCCAACACAAGACCATACAATTAACCAATTGAATCCAACACTACTTCTGTAAGATAGATTTACAAATATGGTGAGGATGTTTGGAGGCTGTGCTGGCCGCACGTCTCTGTCTTATCGCTATAGGCTGATACTACGTCGGTTGCCGCGGTTCATAGTCTTAGCGGCACAACCGACAAATGTCCTCACACATTTTTATTGTTTTCGTTGTGGACTTATTTATTTCCGGTTAATTATACCTGGGTTTGTGTTGTCATTGTTGGTTTCGTATAATTCACACTAAAAATAGATTATTTCCTTGAACAGGGTGAACAAGTTAATTTTTATCATGGAGAAATGTGTTGTTTAGCGGTACGGACTAAATTCGTTGACGTTTACAGATGAACTTTGGAGTTTTGACTTATGCGAACTATTCTGCCATCTATTGGATAGTCTTTCACACTATCTGCACCGGTCTCGGAAGCTGAGTTGTATTTTCTTGTTGCAGGCGAAGACGAGGAGGAGTGGCAAAGTGAAGCGGAGGGTGAGGCGCCTTCATCAGCCGTTAGAGGTGGTGACGAAGGGGGCGAGGCGTCTCGTGACGTCACAAACAGCTGCACTAAAACGTCCCCGCTGTCAGTACAGGAAGGGGAATCACCGCATCCACCGCCCCCCAGACTTCGGCTTAAGGCAGGCCTTGCAACCGATCCTGCTCTGAGGGCTGCGGTCCCCAGTCCTGTGCTGCCCACCACCGCCCCCGGTTTGGAGTATCTTGCTGCTCTGAACCCAGCCTTCCACTCAGGTGAGACCACAGCACGTCGTGCAACACATGCGATCTCTTCTTTCAGATTTCTAATAAAATTAAACACAGCGCCATGAAGATACACGAGAGAGTGGAGGTATTACTCCACACATTAATGACCTCAGCATTGATTGAGTGGTCAGCTTCACGCCCTGGCCGCTTTTTCCACGAGTAAAAGCCCCAGTATGCAAAGGGGCTAAATTTGTAACAAAGTTAGTCGAACTCTAAAACACCAGGTCTCGAGTCCACGGTTCGGAAGAAGGTAAACGTTATGGCCATAAGGCGACGAGAAAGTATCTATGACTACGATTTGTAAGTTCCATACGTCGTAAAGTGTTTTTGACGTAAATACGTCTATATTTTAGGGTCAGTGTTATTCGGCAAAAATGTGTTACGAAAGAGGGAAACGAAAAAGTGTAACTTCATTGTTATGTTACCTAGGAAACGTCATCTATTTACTTAGCATTGTTATTACCTATAAAAGATTACATTACCTGTGTAGGAACCTGAAGACGGAGATAGAGTCCCATCTCCGAAACGTCGTTTTACGTTTTATATTTACTAGACGATGGATAATATCCAAGAAAATTTTTATTCAAATGACTCTTCAATAACTTGTGTTGGGCAAGGCCGTGGCCTAGGCAACACGGAGTTTTCCTCATTGGCATCCCAACAATTACTCCATTCACCCCCAGAAGAAGGCAATGGCAAACCACTTTTGGATCATCTGCCAAGAACGTATATGAACAGGTCCCAGTCCGAGAAAAGGATGGAAGGATCCTGTTCATATGGACCTGTCGTCAGACAGAACACTAAATAAATAATAATAAATAACCACAGACCCATCTTAAGCATAACTAATTCAAGTTGATTAAGCAATATCTTAACAAATTTATCTCAATTGTAAAGCATGTATAAAGGAAATATTTAGAATAAAGCCAATATATAAACTTCCTTTCCGTATAGACGTATTTACGTCAAATTATCCGGAACCGTGGTTCCACTGTCACCTTTTGTTAAGTGTGACTGAAAGGTTGTTTGGAAAGGATTTTCGGGAACACATGATGCAATGTAATTTTCGTGGAGCTGTTGAGGTATATTAGCTCTCCTGCCCGAATTTGAAAATGAACGGCATGAATACGAAGTTCATAAACTACCCACCATGCACCGCGACAACAGTTTGTAGTACTCTTGACCTTGCTCTTATTGGTTCGGAACTCTGACGTCATATTTGTATTTATCACTAAAATGGAAATCTTAATTAATTCTAGTGGTAACTGTTTGCCTCACCTGCTTTAATAATAAAGAAGTCTGAATTCGTTGTATGTGATTCTCTGTGTAAACGTCGATTATTCACGTGAACATCTTTAATAAGTTTGTCTTTGTAATGGTAGAGTGTGGTGTTTTCTTTGCGGTTCGGACAGAATTCTTAAATGTTGTATAGACAAGCTTCGGCTTTAAAGGGTTGTTTGATTCTTGTACGTAAAATATTGTGGGCTTCTGCATTTATATAAATGACCATCTTTTGATACTTTAAAATATGAATAAAACGTGGAAGTTGGGTGTGTTTAAAGTGACATTATTTCAGAAACCATCTTGGTTTGTTTTATTCAACATATGCAGCTTAAATGTGATCCCGCGACTTCTAAACCCTCGCGTAGCAACTGTAATGGAATGTGTTTAATGCGTCCATAACCTATACGTGCAGAACTGGTCCAATGCCTTTCCGACTTCGTAGACAATTGTTACACTCTCAGACTAAAGAGAACAGTGTCCTAATGATTATTGATGAAAATAATAAAAGTTTGTTTGTTTCGTTATTAAAACGTGCTGACTCAACGGATACAAGAGACTATTATAGTCAGCTCAAGAAATTAAAAGATAAAATTCATACTAAGTACAGAGTACAATAGAAAAATGAAAATAAAGCATGTTAATCTGCGCACCTTCACGTAACGAGACAGTGTACTCAAAGGAGATAATGTTTTTGCCAAAAATGTCTTAAGATCTGAATGCCATTTGCAGCATTGGCGCTCCTGGCGGGAGGACTATGTTTTAAGTTACTGATCATGCTGAAATTTGGAAATTCTTTAATTTGCCTTGTGGTCACGCGAATACCAACAGTGTCCATGATGGAATGTCTAATTAAACTTGCCCTTGAAAACATCAAGAAGGAATAAAACATCGAGATGTCCTCGTCTGGAATAAAGTATTCCAAAATTTTAACGACTTAGAATTAAATCATAATTACGAAACGTATCAAAATGAAAAGCCGATAATAACAGAAATTGGCAAATTTTCTTTGTATATTTTCTTTGTTATTGGAGTCAGTTGCTGGAAGCTTCTTCTACACGACAGAGACATACTCTAGCTCTGACCTCATTAAGTCAATGTATAAAACAAGTAGACTAATGAAGAGAAATTATAAGTAATAAAGTGAATAAGCCCTAATGTACTCAGTGGCTATGAATATACTACGTCGACATGACAGTGGAAATATAATTTACTAACATAACTCCAAGATCTTTAATACAGTCAGAACACGAAATTAAGACATCTTTGTCACAGAAGTTAAATTATATATTGTTCATAAGATATTGTAAATGCGTCATAAATAATAAATAAATATTTTAATATATTGTTCGTCTTGCGTGTGAAAGATATAAGAGAGATTTTGAATGATTAATTTTAGCAGAAAGATCGTTGGAAAAAATGGTAAATAAAAGGACTTCAAAGGTGTGGTACCCCTGACAGTGCAGACAAGGAAGAATAAAACTTTACGAAAATACGAAGGAAGGAAGATCTATTTGATGTGAGGAACTTTGGAAAAGGCCTAGTTGAGATAAAAATAAACACAATAAAACTTCCTGTACGAACAGACAGTATATCATCAGTTAGGCAAGTTACTGAATTATTTGCCGTAGATTTTTATTTAACAAAACCGTGCTGATCTAGATGTTGCTTAAATTTAAAATAAAACGAAAAGTGATGGTGTATAATAACTTTAAAAAAAATTGGAGATAGGTCACTTGAGCTGTGTTGCCTTTCTTAAGAATGGAAGAACGGTCGCCTGTTTAAACAATGAGAGTAACTATCCAGTTAATAAACTAGGATTAAAAATGTGACGTAAGAGAATAGCGAATTTTATCGGAACAATCATTTATAACATAATCGGGAATTTCATCGAACGGAAACGACTGATGGATGATTAATCGCTTAACATCTGAATCAGAAATATTTAGAAATTCGTACCCAGTGCAGTCAGAATTGTACGAAGTATTAACAGAGGGAAAAATGATATACAAAATCTTTTGTAATTAACTGCGGCCTCGTCATAGTGTCCTTTGCAATTTCTTTTGGGGTTATTTGTAAGTGTATTTCCAAAAATTCTTTGACTGGGTCCTCGAATTATTATGGATAACTTTTGACGAAACTAGTCTCTCTTTCTAAAATGTAGTTTCGACCAGTTTACGACAATAAGAAAAGATTCTATAGTAATAATTTAAATTCACTAATCGCTCTAATGTTGGAAGCAGCAAAGACCTCTGAGACGTTCTGCCAGACTACACTGCACTATAATCCAGAAGATTGGATTTAGATTTCTTGTATTTATTAAAAAAAACCCTGATATTTGTTCTTGATGTAGCATATGAAAGATTTCGAAAACCAGTGAGGCAAGGAAAAGCTTATAGGTTTTTCAGACGGAATGGTATCGTCAGTAGCCTCAGACACTGTCAGCAAAATTATAAACCGCAGTATCTACGGAATATTAGTTCAGGACACGTGACCAATTGAAGTTATAAAAGAATTAGTGTAAAATAAAGTAATCCCCCTGACCGTGATTTCGTCGAGGAGTTAATAAAGTATGTTGTCAGTTGAAGGTTAATTTAAAATCTAGATTAAGTAGGGGTTATTTTAACCGGAGCGGCCGTAGATATAGAAACAAATCATTAATGTTTAAGAAAAAAATCAAACAATGCACTGCATGAAGCAGCAATATTGTACTGACTGAGAGCAAGAAAGGAAGAGGTAGCATGAATCAATTTTCCTTTAATGTTATTATGGTTAGTAATTGAGGTCCACAGTGGCCGCACGGTCTCTGGAACCGTGGGTTCGAATCCCACTCAAGCCATGGATGTCTGTCCGCGTTTTTCTGTGTTGTGCTGTCCTGTGCACAAGTAGAGGCCTTGCGACGGGCCGATCCCTCGTATAAGGAGTCCTACCAAATGTCTATAGATCAAGACGACGAAAAGTTGGGACCCGCAGTGCTCAGGCACTTGAAGAACGGGGTTCCCAGTATCCCAGTATGGTTAGTAATTAGATATTTAGGAGCTGTAACATTATTAGGGTGAAAAATTCTAGGGAAATTAGTTGGGTGGGACACATCGGGAAATGAGAAAAAACACGAAAATTTATTCGGAAAACGTAGCGGAAGATACCATTTGAGAGATGTTTCCATGTAAGGAAGGATAATATTAAAATGTAAATTAAAGTAATGGGGTTTGAAGGTGAAGACTGGATTCATTTGGCTCAGGATAGACTCCGGTGGAAGAATGTAGTGAACATGATTATTAACCTTGTGGTTCTATAAAAGGCGGGGAATTTGTTGTTGGATTGAGCTGCTGTTGGCTACTTTTCATGTTACTGCTGTATTTCTTTTTCCGAATCAGGATGACACATCTGAGCTTGGGTGGACGATAGCTTAGGCGTGAACCCATTACGTAAATACGGAGGTTCGCATTTAACCCAACTAACGACTGGGAGCGGATTTCTACGAAAAAAGATAGTGCCCATATCCCACCTGGCATTTCTAAGTCCGTGATTAAAATAGAAACTACAATTTCAGATATTTTATCACAGTAAACACTAATGCCGTTGATGCTGTACATGCACTGGTCACATGTATTTATCATTATAAAATAATGTTCTTTTTAACACGTTACTCTGGTTTTTTTGTGGCCGAACATTCCTGAAACAGAAGAAATGCGCACTTCACACGTCATACCCAATAACTTGAAACCGGTTAACTCTGCCTCTGGACAAAACAAAGATCTTCGTGATAGCATGACAGTTCTTCTTCACACAGTCATTTCCATATTTGTTATGTTGGCAGCACTTCCCTCGAGCCAGTTCTTCTGTTTACCGCCTATGCCACCTGACGGGGCTACAACAGTGCCACTACCAAGACCCAAACCCGACGCCTTAGAGTCCAGACAAGGTGAGAGAGGCACTGCTGTTTGCATGTTCAAGTTATTAGTGTTTGTGTGACGTCACCTGATTTGCGTCGTTACGTATTGAATTCCTTGTTCTGGCGTTCAAAGTGAAGTTTTCAGAACAGACTTGTTAAGTTGTACCGGGCCCGGGTTAAGAGCGCCGTGCGGCCGACGTTTGTACTATCTGCACTGCAGTGGAGCTATCGCGGAAATACAGTAGAGCACATATTGGGATATTGTCCACCAGAATAAATAATAATACCATTAAAATTATATTTTAGCATTCTGTTGTGGGACATACATTGTAACACTGTCCCATCTTACACACGGCCAAGCTTTTTTATGTATTTCAATAAGCGACAAGTTTTTTGTTGTTGTCTCCCTGGAACTGAGCGAGCAAATGGGCCCATTGTCCATCCCCCATATGGTACGTTTGCGAATATGGAGCAGTGATGGAATGATATTGAAAGACTAATACCGAAATGTCTGGGGTGGGGGGACGACTTTTCCCAGTGGCTCTTTATCCACATGCACTGCCCTAGGAGCGAGTGGTCCTCGCGACGAGAAGCTGGCGACTAATCTTTCTATGCTATGGCACGCCCTAAATAACAGCGATTTTACATCCTTAAATAATCAAATTCATACCAGGTGTCGGGTTAACAGCCGTCATTAGGCTGGTTTATAATGCAGTGGTTAAAACGTAAACTGTTTATATAGTGTATCTATCCGTTGCTTTGAAAAGTTTTATTGTGTTTTGTAATTTTTTGGAAATTACTTAAGATATCAAACGTGATTAAAGTACGAATATTGAAAGAAATAAAATTTAAAGTAAAAGTTGTAATCATTGTATCCAACTTATAAGTGATATTCTAATCCAGCGTTTTTTTTATTATTAAGTAAGGTTATGAACTCTACTTTGAGCGAAATTTTTAACACGTACAAGAAATATTATGCGATTGTTCGCTATTGAAGTGTTTCAGATGGGTGTTGTCTTCTGAATTAAAAGTGGTAAAAACATACCAAGGTGTAGTTGCTTTATCCAAGAGTTGTCTTGAATAAGTCTGTCTTGCTGATATGACATTAATAGAACAACGTCGTAAACACCAGTAGCTTAATAAATTGTGTAAACAGCATTAAAAATTAATGTAAACTCCAGAGTGTACTCATTCGACATAACCAGTACGGACATCGATATATCAAAATCACGATATCTCTGTGGTTTTACGAAGCACCCGTAAATTCAGTAATGATATACAGAATTTTCGTTTTAACGAGCGGCCCAAACGTCGCGATCACCGACTGTACATATACGATATGGAATTGGTCAGCATATAGGGATCCAGCAACTTCGCACGTCAGTGGTGGGGAAACCAGTGGCCTTGCCAACCAAGAAAGTACACAGTCTTCACTTCTTCAATGCATCACAATTCAGTTTGGTATGTTGTTTTGATCAAGCAAGGTGGATATTACTTTTGAGCATAGAATTTTTGTCATGGAGAATTATGGATGGAATATGAACGTGCTTTACGTTTTATGAACATCATGCATCATTTCTCTTATTTACCACCACAGTGTGCATTGTAGGAAACACTAAATATCTCACTTTGTGCACTGATCTGCATATGGCTGCCCAACGACAAACAAAAAAGTGGTCGGCATAGATCACTTTATGCCTTATATATTACATACGATATTTTAGTAACCGCAGACAAAAAGGATTTGATGTTTTAAGTAGACTTGAAAATATACAGTAATTTACATGTGCTTTAAATAACAAATCTTATCAGCTTACATGTGTGTGCGCTTCATTGTTGTCATTTGTCTTTCGTTGTCATAATTTTATGTTCGGGTATTTTCATAATTATATCGAGTTTAATGAACTGGATCTGTTTCAATCATCGAGACTAGCTCATTTTAAGGGGCCCATCTGAATAGGAACCATTCCTCTCTTTTTAGCTGATGACAGAAACACCGAGTTTCAAAATAGTGTTTGAGAATAACCAAGACGATGTATATTGTCCATAATAGTAGTCATGTTTATTGTAACACACGGTGATCAGGAACATTTAGATTTACACGTTCTTTTGTGAAGTAAATGTCCTCGTTTAAAATATATTTAATTTTGTGTTATGACGTGAATTGAGCACTGTTGTCCTGCCATGGTGGTGTGTCTGTGTGTGACATGCTTGTATGTGTCTCCCTCAGTGCCAGTGTTCATGTGCAACCCCTGTGGAATCCGCTTCAGTTCACTGAGTACCCTGGAGGCTCACCAAACATACTACTGCTCCCACAGGACAGGAAGCACTACAGTTACTGGAAACACTAAGACAGCCTCACATAAAGGTGAGGGCTCCAGCATGAGGCACAGTTTTATTTAACAAACATACAAAAGTTCTGTGAGAGTCTTCTGGGTTGTAGTTCAGTGTAGTGTTGCCTCCATTTTCAGGGCAGTAGCAATGGACTTGGGGGATAAGGTGGCTGAGTGTCTTTATAATACATATTCAAGAACCATGCCCTCATAGGATTTCTGTGCCATTTGCAACAGTAATTTTACTTTTGTGGTGACTCCAGAAGTCGTGTAGTATAAATCATGCATTTTTTCTTCTGTTTGTTACATGCGCAAAATGCTTTGCACCGTTTTATGCAAGTTGGTAATAAACTTTATTAAATTGGTACTTACTGTAGCAACTGTAGGCAGTCCATGGAAGATAGCAGTGTCTGGCAAATTAGTATTGGTACTGAAATTTTCTGTGGCAGATTGTGTCTTGTGATTTGTACTGTACACTTGGTGATTTGCAGATTATATTGCAAGCAGATGCATAAAATGTCCATTGTGATCCATTTAGTAGTATAAGAGTGCCATTTTAAATACGGCAGCAAAAGTCATTACTCTGGCACAAAAAATGTCTATAAAGAAAAAAGGAAATGGAAACTATAAGAAATGGGTCTAGTGATTAACAGGTTGAGTTCAAATAACTTGTATTGCAAGATGCACCAAAGCTCTACTAAACTCACCCCAAACCCAAAACAGTTGGTTCTTTGTCTGTTTGCAGGGAGGGGTGACAGTGACAGTGAGGATGGAAAATTGTCATCAGGCGAGACACCCCGGGGGGATGCTGAGGCATCTGGCAGTGAGGGTGTGCCAGAAGTAAACGGTATGCCAAACAAGACAGTGCGAACAGGCAAACAGTACACGTGCCCCCACTGCTCCTACAGTGCCGACAAGAAGGTCAGCCTCAACCGCCATATGCGAATGCATTCTGCATCTCCAGGACCCAGTCCAACCCCCAGCTCACTGTCAAATGGGGGGCCAGTCCCCACACCACCTGCCGAGGTCACCGCGGCACTACTGAATTCTCCGCACTTGGTGGACCGCTACTGCCAGGATTGCGACATCCGGTTTTCATCGGTCAAGACTTTCAGGGCACACAAACTACACTACTGTAGCACCAGGCATGTGGTGAAGTCTCAACCTCCTCCTCCACCACCTTCAACAAAGATGTCATCGGAGTCAGCTCCAGCGTCACCACCAGAAGTGGTGTCACGAACATCACCCAGCTGTTCACCTCCCAGCAGGGAGCACCGCAGCCCTCCCCAGCCATTTCTGGCACTGCCCACAAACCCTATTCTGCTGGTACCCTGCTCACTGATTCAGGGAGCCAGCCTTCTGACTGGGGCAGCTGCTATGGGCCTCCCAGCCCGTGACACAGCGTGCCTGCTCCTCCCCAATGGCACTCTCCAGCCGATGGCTCAGGCAGTGCATGCGCAGATCAGGAGTAAGGAGGCAGAGGTCACGCACACAACCGATCAGGTAGGACAAGTTTGCAGATCATAAAATTATAGAAATATTTTGCTTGGATGTTATCCTTTATCTGTTATTTAAAAGTGTGAAAAATTATGTAATTAAATCACTTTGTTTTATAGACGTCCCATGTATCCGTATTCAGGTAAGAGGGTACCTAAAAGCTAAGCTTCTTCAGTGGGTAGAGCCGGTGTTTAAAACATAGTGAATTTCAGAATTTTAATTGTTTAATTTTTGAATGTTTAAACAACAGGCATTGGATAATACAATAATGCCAATACGCCGTTGTCAAAATGTGACAGCTATTTTAAAGGTGATGTGATGGTGTGCAGATGATTCATTTTTGATCCAAGGGTTATAACCACACAGCTAGCCAAGAAATTTCTACCTTGTATGGAACTCAAAGGTTCATGAAAGTGATCACAAGTGCCTACCACTGGACCCTATTCTGAGCCAGCTGAAGGCACTCGACACACTCAGATCATTTTTCTTTAAGATCCGGTATAATATAATCCTCCCACGTATGTAGTCCCTTTTCTTCTAGGTTTCTGCCTAAAATTTTATGTGTATTTCTCATCTTCCTCAGTCATGCTGTATGTTTTATCCATTTCATCATCCCTGATTTGACTACTATAATAATATTTGGTGAAGAATTTGTGTTTGCAGCTCTTCTAAAATAAAAGCATTTCATTTTGCATGCCCTTACTACTTTTAGTAGGTAATACTAATTGCTTACCAGCATACAACTTTTGTGTCTATATAGTGAAATTTTACAGGATATCCTGATCATAAAACTGAAACGCATCTCTCTAATAAATTACAAAATTTTGAATGTAAGCTGTTGGTCTTAATTTGAATTAAACAACATATAATTTGTTAAAATTAAATTTAGTCTAAATAAATTGTAAAAATCTGTGCAGTATATATACACTTTGTTGTCTGTCCTTTAATTGGTGGATTCTTAATATGTCATGTTCATCCTTTCATTGCAGGTGAAGTCAGTAGTGCCTGCTCGGATAGAAACCAGTAGTCGCTGCATACCTCATATCGAGACCAGTGGTGATACATCTGCACCTCTGGACCTGAGCATGAGGCGTTCCTCAGAAGGCAGTGGGGCTGGTGATCTTGTAGTGGACCTGGACAGTGATCAAGATTCTCGAAGGACATCTCCTGTGCCCCTACCACCTCCCCCACCCCCACTAACACAGTCCATTACAATGATACAGGATGAGGAAGAAGTGGAGGTAGATGAGGGTGAGGACATCGTTTGTGCACCGTCCATTCCCTCCCTCCTCCTCTCTGCTTCCTCGACATGTTCCAGTCCTTCTCCTCCACCACCACCTACCTCTCCAACTTTGTCTAATTCATCACAGTCCAACTTGAAACGGGGACCAGGATCTGGATCGTCAGAACTTCCATCCAAACGACCACGGACCGAGTCTGAAAGTAACAGTCCTAGCCCCAAATCTCAGCAGACTTCACCAAAATCACCACGCAGAGGAACACCAAATGGTGTCATCATTATGAACAACAGTGGCAGGAATAGCAGTTTGGAGTCTGCTACTAACAGCCAAAGGAAAGCACTGGCGGCAGCGCTCAGCCGCCATTTGAGTCAGGTGGAGTCCACCAGTAACCTGTCCAATTTGCTGCTTGCTGCTGTTGCTGCTTCATCAGCACATCAAGATGATGCAGGAGGCAATGGTGCACCCCTCCTCAAGTCTCCACCTGTACCTCTCCCTTTCTCAGGGAAAGCCTCAACCAAGAACACCATCGCAACAAAAACTCCTCATATTACTCCCATAATCCCACCTCCGTTGTTGCTACATAACCCTCGGACTACCTCGGCAGACATCCTGTCCTCAGCCAGCATCCTTCCACTTCTCACAACTGAGATGGCTCTGAGAATGGCAACAGAAGCTGCTGCGGGAGTAGTGCCTCCTCCACCTCCACCACCTCCACCACCACAGGTGCTTGTGAAGCAAGGGGTGTCCAAATGCCGGGAGTGCAACATAGTATTTTGTAAGCATGAGAACTACATGGCTCACAAGAAACACTACTGTTCAGCAAGACTGGAGGGTGGTGGGGATGATGGCAGAGTATCCAGTCCTCAGGGAGTAGTGCCCAACTCTCCCTCAGGGTCTCCACCCCACGGGAAGGACCGTGGTAGATCGGCTAGTCCGAGTATAGGCGGTTCATTGTCGGCTCAGCAGCAGCAAGGACAGTTGGGACAGAAGCCTCCAACACTTTTCCAGTTCATCTGTGCAGCCTGTGGTATTAAGTTCACTTCTTTTGACAACTTGACTGCACACCAGGCATATTACTGCCCCAAGCGGACAGAGCTGTTGGCCAAATCTACAGCGGAGACAGTGACCGATAAACCCCCTGTCTCAGCTCCACGCAAATGTGTAAAGTGCAAGGTGAGTTCCTCACACTTTATTTGTGGCTTTATATAATAATTGGCACAGCACTATTTTGGCTAGAAAAGACCTAAGAACGACTATCTTTTAGTTTATTTCTCCATATTTATAACGTTCATAAATTTTTACATTGTTAATAAATGAAAATTATGTTGAGTGGCATGATCTGCATGCCGTGATGTTTCTTCTGTCACTGAGGTACCATGTGAACTAAATTTGTGCCTGAGATTTAAGTCCAAGCTATTCATCTAACATCTTATTATAGCTTCTTAAAACATAAAGTCCCATTGACTCTAATTATGATAGCAGTTATGACTGCTCTTATATAATGTGGAATCAGTTGAAATGATATTATACTCCAGCCTGTTCAAGAAATCTGCGAAAGCAATGCCATGTTGAAGGGTGAAGTATGTGGGTTTTTGGCAAACATAAGTATTTTGTATACCAGTGGTCCCCAACATGGTGCTCACAGGCGCCATGGTGCCTGCCAAGGCTTTTTTTTGGTGCCCGCGTTGTTACAGAAAGAGGTTATACTGAATAATGAAGGCCGTTCAACCATGAACATTATAAAATCAAAGCGCAGATCTCGATGTACTGACGCCCATCTTGACGATTGTTTGCGAGCAGCAACATCATCCTACACTCCCAAATTTGAAAAACTGGCCGATGAAATGCAGTGCCTAACATCACAATAACTTCCCACTTGATTAATAATAATAATTTTACTTATAAAAGTATGTATTTTTGATCGCATGGTTTCTTGTATCATTAAACGTCATGTTGTTTTGTGTATTATTCGGTGTCCATATCTTATTTGTCCAGAGAAAAGAAAATTTGGCTTTGTTAATTGGTTGGTGCCCTCCACGATCTCATAAACTCTCAAATGTACCCATAGGCACATAAAGGTTGGGGACCACTGTTGTATACAATCAAATTTTGTTGTGTAAGAGTGTTTTAGATTAACACTTGTACCATACTTTTGGGTGATACAGTTAACCTACTTTTCGTGCAGCAATAGATATATTATTCTGACACACAGGTATCAGTGCCAGTAGATCAGTTGGCAACCCACCAATGCTCAGGTGTGGGCGGTTCAGGTGGGTGGAAGTGTCCATGTTGTGATGTTGTGAGTCCAACAGCCAGTGCTGCTCAGAGACACATGGATTCTCACAGTGGGGTGAAGGCCTTTCGTTGTACTATTTGTCGCTACAAGGGTAACACTCTTCGAGGCATGAGGACGCACATCCGCATGCACTTTGAAAAACGCTCCACAGACTTACAGGTAGATATCAGAATGCAGTAGGACAGTGTCTTGCTGTGAAACCATGTGTACACTGAGAACTCAACTGTAGAAGCATGTTTGCGTATGCACAGCGTTTGCACCCAAGCCGTTGTGATTGTGCAGCCAGTCAAGAACAGTAATACACCTAATATCTAAATTATATTCATGCAAATGAATCAAATATGTTGTTTTACACAAATGCAATTGGGATATTTTTATTGGGGTGTGTGAAATGCCCTGGCGGTCCAGTGAATTGAAAATTGAATATTCACTATCTCATTATTTAAAATTTATCTCAGATTTTCTTCTTCATTAAATGTTTTAAACACTGCAATATGCCCTCAGAAATTCAGTGCAAGATTCTTTGAATATTATTAATATTTCAGAAGTTCGAAACCTATATTTTCCCTGTACTACACATAAGTGGTTTCCACTTTCTGCTTCCCAGGAGGAGAACTTTATCTCATGCATCATTGGTGATGAGGGAGTGGTTGGCAATCAGCAGCAGCCGGTGATTGTGCAGCCACCAGAAACTGTACTGTCTGAGCCACAGATCACAGAAGGAGGCGACAGTGGTCGTATAGAGAAGTTACACTTCTGTGACCTGTGCAACTACAGTTCCACTTACAAGGGCAATGTGGTACGCCATCACAGGTTGGTTCATCTGCATGTGAAGCCTGAGCAGGAGGGTTCCACTTCCCCCATTGACATAAAGATGGGGAGTCCCAGGGATGTGTCAGAGGGAGAGGGGGCTGAAGAGTGTATGAAGCCAGATAATGTGACTGTGAAGGAAGAGGTACGAGCCAGAGTGTATGTCGATGATGAGAGGGAGGAAGAATATGTTGAAGTTGAGGAGGACATCACAATGGCACATTCTGTAGTGAAGACAGAACCTCTGATCATGGTGTCTGAAGTGGACAATACAGGTGGCAGCTCAGTGGATGATAAGTCAAAACTTGATACGTCTCATCACCGAGAGAGAGATGACAGTGGGCGATTCTGCTCTAGTGATATGGAAGCCCGGGACCAGGTCGAGGGTGATGCACAGAATGTACCCACATCAGCAGGTAACGTCATCAAAAAGACAGGGCCCAAATACTGCAAATCATGCGATATATCATTTAACTACTTGTCTACCTTCATTGCACATAAGAAGTTCTATTGCTCTAGCCATGCTGGAGAGAGCACCACTGGCAGTGCTGGCGGAAGAACTGCAGAGGCTTCAGTTCTCTGAGATCTTCCAGTCATCCAACATCGCTAGTTTCTAAAGGTTTTTGTGGTACATACAGCAATCAGAGGTTCTCAACTCTAGTTACATATTAGCTGTGCATCATGGCTTACATGAGGTCTAGCTACCCTATGTTGCAGTAGCAAATCACTAAACTGCTAACCCAGGAGATAAAGTTGAGCCGAGAGCAACGGGGGATTTAAATCCCTGTTTCCATATGATAAAGATTAATATGGATTGTGCATGGATAATTCAACACCTTGACCCGGTTGATGTAATGATACACCCCTACTTTCACTAATTGGCACAAAAGTCATTGTCTACAGGTTTTTAAGCTTCAGTCCTATGATATATAGGACATTCTTTGAAATCTCTTGTTTGTCCAGCAGTTGTCACATAACTGCATTTGTTCAGCTGTATTATGAGATATTCTGTACAGCTGTTAGGTAAAATATTGAACTCTATTTTATGACCCTCATCCATTGTTATATGATAACACATGCTAGCCACAATTCAAAACCATAAACATAAGAGACTAAAGAACTGACTGGCTGGGTCAGGTAACCTAACTTATTAGTTTGTGAAGATTTCTGTCTTCTGGGTTGTTGCGCTTTGTGGTCTGGTCGATGTTAACCAACGTTTCAGAGGTCATACTGCCTCCATCATCAGGGCAATGAATATTTGACCAAACTACACAGCGCAACAACCCAGAAGACGTAAATCTTCATACTCACCGCTGTGAAAACCTCAAATCTTACTTATTAGTTTGTACTTATGTTTCTGAGGATGTATTTCGTTATTCCTGTATATTGAAAGATAGTAATCAAGAATTACTGAAATCAGTAATATTATTGAATTCTGAATGCTTTTGGCTCAAGAGCTAGAATTATAAGAAGTCGGGTGACTTTAATGCAAGAATGTTCCGCTCTCAGTTATACAGTAGCACATGTGAATGTTGCTTTTGGTTAGTTGGTAGCATTGCAGAAGTGAGAGGGAGGAAAAGATGTTGACTCAGTGCTGCAAATTCTGTTCACTGCAAACATAGGTTTATTCCAAACATAAGTAATTCATGAATATGTTTCTCTGAAATTTTTTTTTGGGTTTTGTTATAATTAATTGCAACTGCCAAGGACGTGTCCAGAATATTGTCACTCTTT